GCTCCAATCATATCAATGTAATAGCTTAACCACCTTCCGTCCATGGCCGTTTGTGAACGGCCGGACGGAAGTCTGCTAGGAGCGGGAGGGCGTCTCCTCCCCCCTCTCGTGTGCGGCACTCAGCGTGCACGTTAAATTCCCCCGCCCCAGCCACATACACATGCAAACATGCGTCGGGTGCGCCTATGTACGAAAACGACGATTGCGCCTATTATGCAGCACATGTTACATATCGCCGTGAACGTCGCAGTGAGAGCAATCATTTTAGGGCCATCAATCACTGATAACACTAAACTGATGAGCGGTAAAAAAGTTTAAAGTGACGCCTACGGCCAATTTTGGTTGCGGTCGTTTTCTGCAATTTTGTGGGCGCGCCCATTTTTAAAGGTTGACATATTTAGTGTCTATTTACCCGACTTGACACCCGTCTTTTATATTATACCAAAAAATTGGGGTGAAAATACATTTTTCATAACATTTTCTAGGGAAACATGTATTTTTTCAAAATTTAGGGTACTTTTTTTGTTATATAGTAAAAAATAAAACCCCCAGTGGTGATTAAATACCACCGAAAGAAAGCTCTATGTGTCCCCAAAAAATGGTATGAAATTCGTATCAGTACAGCGTCACATGACGGAATAAACGTCAGTCAAAGTACCGCAGCGCTGAATACTGAAAAATGGCCTGGCCGGGAAGGGGGTGAAACACCGCGGTCTTCAAGTGGTTAATAACACCTGCTAGCTCCAATCACATCAATGTAATAGCTTAAAAAAACCTGCTAGCTCCAATCACATCAATGTAATAGCTTAAAAAAACACCTGCTAGCTCCAATCACATCAATGTAATAGCTTAATAGCACCTGCTAGCTCCAATCACATCAATGTAATAGCACCTGCTAGCTCCAATCACATCAATGTAATAGCTTAATAACACCTGCTAGCTCCAATCACATCAATGTAATAGCTTAATAGCACCTGCTAGCTCCAATCACATCAATGTAATAGCTTAATAGCACCTGCTAGCTCCAATCACATGAATGTAATAGCTTAATAGCACCTGCTAGCTCCAATCACATCAATGTAATAGCTTAATAGCACCTGCTAGCTCCAATCACATCAATGTAATAGCTTAATAGCACCTGCTAGCTCCAATCACATCAATGTAATAGCTTAATAGCACCTGCTAGCTCCAATCACATCAATGTAATAGCTTAATAGCACCTGCTAGCTCCAATCACATCAATGTAATAGCTTAATAGCACCTGCTAGCTCCAATCACATCAATGTAATAGCTTAATAGCACCTGCTAGCTCCAATCACATCAATGTAATAGCTTAATAGCACCTGCTAGCTCCAATCACATCAATGTAATAGCTTAATAGCACCTGCTAGCTCCAATCACATCAATGTAATAGCTTAATAGCACCTGCTAGCTCCAATCACATCAATGTAATAGCTTAATAGCACCTACTAGCTCCAATCACATCAATGTAATAGCTTAATAGCACCTGCTAGCTCCAATCACATCAATGTAATAGCTTAATAGCACCTGCTAGCTCCAATCACATCAATGTAATAGCTTAATAGCACCTGCTAGCTCCAATCATGCAAATGCAATCAACACCTTACCAAAATTAGTTATCTGACCCCCTGCTGATAATTAACAGATTATGTTGCTTGGAGCAACAATCACCATATTTATTCCCACATAATTTTTTATGTGAGTCATTCTGAATTGAGAAAGCTGGTCGGGTGACCAGCGAAACGTCTTCAGGAAAAATACAGCAAGGGCAGTTGCCTTGATTTATTTTTGTACAGATGTGGTCAGGGAATGGTTCTTGTTCCTAAGATCTCCTCCTCATCCCTGCTGTCTTGTCTACCTTTTGAATGGCCAGCTTTCTGGCTCTGGCGGGGTGACATCACAGGTTCGTGCTGGCCTATCGGGCAACCATAAATCCACCATTTTACAGTATGCAGTTCCTGACTGCGAATGGCTTCAACCTGCACAACGGTGAAGTGCCTCAGGGTTGGGTGGGCTCCCTGTGATTGCTCAACAAAAACGGACGGCCGCACTCCAATAATGACGCTTCAAAGAGACCACCCAACTCTGACGCATTTCACTTTTGTTGAGCCCCCACGGGGAGCCCGCGCCTGCTCTTCCATGACAGCATGGAGCCGGTGACGCTATGCTGGTCTTCGAATGGAGGCCTGACAGGAAATGGTTTACCTGAGCGGCTCTGGGGGACACCCGACCTGATCCATAAAGCGAAGTGGGAGCCAGGTGGGCCGGAGAGGAGGAGCTTCTTAGTCGAGGCCGATGCATCTACAGACCAATAATTATACATTTGTAACAGACATTTCTTTTCTTTCTGTAGAACATTCGTCCAGCCCGAGCACGCCGGTGCAGCCGGAGGACATTCCCATGACCAAGGACAATCCGTGTAAGCCGAAATGACTTTAACGTGCGTCATATTTCCGACGTAACGCATATCACCGTTGTGCGTTTGATTCGGTTTTTTTTTCTTCTCTTTTACAGCCCATCGTCTATCGCAAAGTACGGAGAAGCTGGAAGAGGCCATCGTCTATCGCTCTGTAGCCACTGAAAGTGAGTGACCGGGGGGGGGGTTATAGTTGAAGTGGGGAACCTTCAGACTTGTCAGCTGCCATGTTAAAGGAGAACGGTGAGGTGATTTTCACTCATCCTCATAGTTCGTTGTCACACGTCGGCTCAATAGATCGGGAAGTGAGAGGACACATACCGTCGCTCGCTCACTTCTCGATCATCTCCCTGCAGAGAGTGGTGACTGTCACTCACGGCTCCCTGCAGGGATTCCCCCCCTCCCCTGTCTGATACTCCAGCGCTGACTGGCGGAACGGACGGGGGAGGGGGCCGGTACAGCTGGCTCTGCCTCTAGATAGCTGTCAGTCACGCAGCTGGGCGGATCCAGACAGCATTGTCGGGATCCGCCCCGGCTGTGGCGCCTCAGTATACCGCGAGCTGTAGCTCCCTATATACTGAGCTTTGGGTGACGTGAGGACGCTAGTTTGTGTCCTCCCGTTACCCTGAGGAGAACTATGGGGAAAAGCCCTGACCCCATAGTTCTCCTTTAAAGAAGAAGTCTTACGTTGTAGCAGATATGCACCTGCCAGTCATTGAGGTCGACGGTCCTCCTGTTGCACTGCCCAAGACACGGGAAGGCTGAGCAGAGCCGTCTCCTCCGTTGTGCCCGCGCGCCCGATACGTCGGCGTTCCATCTGGGCAGAACGCACAGCACTGCAGGGTACAGTGTGTGCGCGCGCTCGATGAACACGTGCCATGCGGTGTCTGATAGCGTCAGCCTAAAGCACGCTGCCATGGCGCTTACAAAGCCGTCACTACCTGCTCAGGGGGCAGTTCCTCTCCTGTCATGAGATGAGGTCCATGGCTGTCCGGGGGAAGACGTTCTTGACACCAAGTGCTTCCCGATGCATGTAGACTCACGCAGGGAAGGCCAAACTCCGGCCCTCCAGCTGTGGGGTGGAACTACAAATCCCACGAGGCATTGCAAGATTCTCACAGCCACGGTCATGACTCCCGGAGCGAGATGCATCACGGGATTTGTAGTTTCACCCACAGCTGGAGGGCCGGAGTTTGGCCTTCCCTGATGGAGACATCTGGGTTACCTATTTTCTTACAGATGTTGTCAATTTGCAACGCATGTAGCATACAATAAAGGCCCAACACATGCTTACTAGGGGGTCAGTCATCCAAAGTAGCCAATTTAAGCTTGCTGCATGCGTTTGTAGTGTTTGAGGAAACCCGCGCAGGGGGTAACCTACAAAGTGTCCGCAGATAGAACCAAGTCCCCGCCGCTGCACCTATGACACGTCCCCCTTCCCTTTTACCATTTCAGAGCCCGAAGAACCGCGCCGAGCGCGAGAGCCGGGACCTGCCGCGGAAAAAGCCCCGACTGCGGCAGCGCCACGCCAACAAGGAGGGCACCTGCCCGTTAGGACTCCCGTCAGGAGAAGGAAGACTCTACTCCAGAGGAGGTTAGCGGAGGCGACGGGCGGTTCCAACCACATGCAGGACGCGCTGGGCAAACTGGTGGACGCGTTCAGGAAACAGACGCAGGAGTCGCAGAGGCAGAGCGCGGCGGCGACGGAAGCCGTCGTCCACGAACTGCGGCAAACCAACCACAGCTTGCGCCGAATAGCCGTCGCCTTGGACGAGCACAGGGACGTCTGTAGCCAGTTACTGGAGGAGCAGAGGAAGGTCTCGCTAGCTTTACTAGCGTTGGTGGGGGAACGTAACTCCGCTGGGCGCTCCGTAGGGGCGAACCGAACTCCAAATCCGCCTGATGTATAATACGGCATAGATCTTTTCTTCATGACGTTCTCTGCTTGTGATGTTCACAGGATTCGAATTCTCACATTGTTTCAGTTGTCCAATGTTATATATATTTATGTTCTTTATTGGGTTTTTTTTTTTGGGGGGGGGGGGTTCTGTTGTTATTAAACCCAAAAAATTGTCAACTTTTAACATGTCCTTGTGTGATATGTTTCCGTTATTTTGGAAATCAGACGGCGATCATTGACGCGCTCACGCAGAGTGAATGCGATTACAATTACCCTTCATCAATGTTATCTCTTCCTTATGCCGGCAGAGTCCTGACAAGAGACATGTTTATGCGCGTGTATGTCCTTCAGTCACATTCCAGCCAACCCTGTACCTACCCGCGATGTTCTCTGTGTTGGTTCAGCTCTATGTACCACGTCGTGGCCGAAGAGCTGCTCATTTTTTTTTAATTGAACACGATTGGTTACATTTGATCATCGGAGCCTAGGTGAACCGTTTTCTTGTGCATGTAAACGGCTCTAGATCGGGAGTGGGCAACTTCAGCCCTCCAGCTGTGGCTCTGCGAGTCCTGCTTGTGGCTATCGGAGACTTGCCATGCATCATGGGACTTTTAGCTCCACAACAGCCGGAGGGTGGAAGCTGCCCACCCCTGGTCTAGAGGCATGTCTATAAGAACATCATCAACGTATCTCCGCCAACACCTCATTAGCTCAACAGATGAGGTAGAGGTGTTGGACCTAACATCATCAACGTATCTCCACCAACACCTCGTTAGCTCATCAGATGAGGTAGAGGTGTTGGAATTAACATCATCAACGTATCTCCGCCAACACCTCGTTAGCTCATCAGATGAGGTAGAGGTGTTGGACTTAACATCATCAACGTATCTCCGCCAACACCTCGTTAGCTCATCAGATGAGGTAGAGGTGTTGGACTTAACGTCATCAACGTATCTCCACCAACACCTCGTTAGCTCATCAGATGAGGTAGAGGTGTTGTGCTTAACGTCATCAACGTATCTCCACCAACACCTCGTTAGCTCATCAGATGAGGTAGAGGTGTTGGACTTAACATCATCAACGTATCTCCACCAACATCTCGTTAGCTCATCAGATGAGGTAGAGGTGTTGGACTTAACGTCATCAACGTATCTCCACCAACACCTCGTTAGCTCATCAGATGAGGTAGAGGTGTTGGACTTAACATCATCAACGTATCTCCACCAACATCTCGTTAGCTCATCAGATGAGGTAGAGGTGTTGGACTTTACGTCATCAACGTATCTCCACCAACACCTCGTTAGCTCATCAGATGAGGTAGAGGTGTTGTGCTTAACGTCATCAACGTATCTCCACCAACACCTCGTTAGCTCATCAGATGAGGTAGAGGTGTTGTGCTTATCATCATCAATGTATCTCCACCAACACCTCGTTAGCTCATCAGATGTGGTAGGGGTGTTGGACTTAACATCATCAACGTATCTTCACCAACACCTCGTTAGCTCATCAGATGAGGTAGAGGTGTTGGACTTAACGTCATCAACGTATCTCCACCAACACCTCGTTAGCTCATCAGATGAGGTAGAGGTGTTGGACTTAACATCATCAACGTATCTCCACCAACACCTCGTTAGCTCATCAGATGAGGTAGAGGTGTTGTGCTTATCGTCATCAACGTATCTCCACCAACACCTCGTTAGCTCATCAGGTGAGGTAGAGGTGTTGTGCTTAACATCATCAACGTATCTCCACCAACACCTCCTTAGCTCATCAGAAGAGGTAGAGGTGTTGGACTTCACACAGTATGACTTTACTGCAAAAAGTAAAAAAATAAATGATTTTAATATGAAAAATAACATTTATCTCCAACAGGTGGAAGTTGTATCCAGAGTTCCTCGGAGGGACATCTTGGTGTATATTCAGAATATTATGCACAAGGTCATGGCGTCACGCAGGATTCTTCAAGAGAAAACCATTTTACTGGAAATATCTATCAGAGACTTGACCTTCGAGATACATCATTGGGTCCCTCTCATCCTCAACAGTCTTTCGGCAAGTCACATACTGTTACCACAATAAGACATCACAGCGTGGATACATCCTCAGATCCATCTAACCCGGGGAGATCACTCTCCGGTCATTTGGACACACATACAGGTGATATTTATTCAGAAATCAATCGTCCTTCTAGATCAGAATCATCTCCTGCTGTAGCTCAAAGCACCCACGCACAGGTGCGTCTTTTCCCATGTTCACAGTGCGGGAAAAGTTTCACTCGAGGACAACACCTTCTTAGACACCAGAGAAGTCACACGGGGGAGCGTCCTTTTCAGTGTTCAGACTGTGGGAGAAGTTTTACTCAGAAAGGAGACCTTTTTAGACACCAGAAAATCCACATGGGTGAGCGCCCTTTTTCCTGTACAGAATGCGGGAAATCTTACGTCCAGAAGGTAAACCTTCTTAGACATCAAAAAATTCACACGGGGGAACGCCCTTTTTCCTGTCCAGAGTGCGGAAAATCTTACGTCCAGAAAGTCAACCTTCTAAAACACCAGAAAACGCACACAGACAAACATCCTTTACCATGTTTAGAGTGTGGGAAAAGTTTTACTGGGAAAGGGGACCTTCTTAAACACCAGCGAGATCACGCTGGCGATCATCCCTTCTCATGTTCGGAGTGTGGGAAATATTTCAAGGAGAAAGCAAAACTTCTTCGACACCAAAGAAGTCACACAGGTGAGCGCCCTTTTCGGTGTTCAGAGTGCGGGAAAGGCTTCATTCAGAAAGGAGATCTTCTCAGACACCAGAAAATTCACACGGGGGAGCACCCTTTCTCATGTTTAGAATGCGGGAAATCTTATGTTCAGAAAGGCCACCTTCTTATACACCAGAGAAGTCACACGGGCGAGCGTCCCTTTTCCTGTCCAGAGTGCGGGAAAAGTTTCGCGGACGTAGGACTCCTGCACAGGCATCAGAAAATTCACACAGGGGAGCGGCCTTTTTCCTGTACCGAGTGTGGGAAATGTTTTAATCAAAAAGTAATACTTCTGAGGCACCAGAGGGTTCACAATCGCAGGTGACCCTTTTTCACGCTCGCGGTGCAGCAAATGTTTTCCTCGGGATCAGAGTCGCTGAGCAAGAACCCTGACTGGAAATGTTTTGTTATCAGGCATTGGATGTCTATGTATCGTTATCTGAGATTATTTTTTGGCTCCAATAAAATATTCTGCACAGTTTCCAGCCTCTGGTGTTATGATAACTCTTCCTCATCCGTTACAAAGCATCGCACAAAACCATTACAGATGACACAGTCCAGACATACTGTCATGGAAGAAGGAGAAGAAGACCCTTCCCAAGTGATCTCACCATCCAGGAAGTGGAGGAGATGTAGAAGGACCTATCGGAGGGTAAGAGGGTGCAATGTTACTACTCGGAGGCGTGATTGGTTTAATTTGTATCTTAAGATGAGACACACGGGGGGAATTTATAAAGACTGGAGCAGACAAAATCTGGAGCAGCTTTGCAGAGTGACCAATACTGCTTCCCATGCTTTTAAGGCCTTGGGACTATCTGGCTTCTCCTGTCATCAGTGAGGAGCGGTACATTTGAAGATTTAGGGACTATACAATATATCTGAACTGATATATATCTCTCTTCTCTCCTTCCCCTCTCTCTTCTCTTCTCTCCTTCCCCTCTCTCTTCTCTCTCCTCTTCTCTCCTTCCCCTCTCTCTTCTCTCTCCTCTTCTCTCCTTCCCCTCTCTCTTCTCTTCTCTCCTTCCCCTCTCTCTTCTCTCTCCTCTTCTCTCCTTCCCCTCTCTCTTCTCTCTCCTCTTCTCTCCTTCCCCTCTCTCTTCTCTTCTCTCCTTCCCCTCTCTCTTCTCTTCTCTCCTTCCCCCCTCTCTTCTAGACATGTACGATTCGTTTTCGTTACGAATCGAAATGCGTAGGAATTTTCCTGAAATTCGGAAGCATACGAAATCCGAATTGCAGTTTCCGAATTATATCCGAAATACGAAATTCCGTTAACGAATTTCGGATCCGAATTTCTTTGAAACGGGAACTAATATTACCCCTGTAAATGAGGTTGAACAACATGACAAGATTTGTTTTTTATACGAAATACGAATCCGCTGCTGCTGAGAGTCGCATTACAATACACAGGCAGGAAATACGAAATTCCGTTGACGTATTTTCGTTCCGTTACGAACATTCGTTATATTGAAGGTAAAAAGCAAAATACATTTATATCGGAGTTGATGGTTTTTTTAAACTCCGAAATACGGAATTCGTATTTCGGATAAAAAAACAACGACCACATCGACTCCGATATAAATGTACTTTGCTTTTTAACTTCATCATAACGAATGTTCGTAAAGTTAGGGAAATGTGCCGAAACTAACGAAAATCCGTATTTCGTACGAATCCGAATTGAGTTTCAGACACGAAATATGAAATAACGGATATAACGAAACGGAACGAATTTTTTGACGGCGCACAAGTCTATTCTCTTCTCTCTCTCTCCATAGATAAGATTTAGGTGCACGCGCAGTCAGAATGATGATGATGATTACAAAGCATATAAAGTAAAGAGCTAGTTAATAAACTTCATGAATTGTTGTTAAGCTGCAACTGAGTTTGTGTATGTGTGTCTGTATGTATGTATATGTAGTGTGTATATATATGTCTGTGTGTGTATGTATGTGTGTGTGTATGTATGTGTGTGTATATGTGTGTGTGTATATGTGTGTGTGTGTGTGTGTATATATGTGTGTGTATATATGTGTGTGTGTATATGTGTGTGTGTGTGTGTATATGTGTGTGTGT